GCCCCCCCCCCCCCCCCCCCCAGCAATATTTTGTTTACTCTATTAATAGCTCATAATATACTGTACCAAGTAATCATGACAAACAAGACCTTAAAATTTATAATGAAAAACAAATATTATACGTACTTTTATATTTGTTAATTTTTTACTTATCCCCGGTTTGGCCCCCATTATTTAGATTTATAATGGGAGGAATAATTTTTTTTAAAAAAATGGATGGTTGTAAAAGAATGAAAAATTTTCGATTTACGTGAAATTATTTTATTGAAAATTGTGCGGTTAAAAATAAAAGAGAGAAAAATTTAAATTAAATTGATGAATTTTAAAGGAGGCCAAACAAGAGCTTAATTAAAAGTATTAGGAAAAATAAGTCTTCATGTCCCTCTAGCAGACTTTCGGGATGGAAGCATCATAGGACATTAAATCCCTGTTTGCCTATCATTTAATTTAGGTAGAAAATGAGTTTTGTAATAATGATTTTTTGAAGAATGTATCATTTCAAAGTATGAAAAGTTTTTGGATTTATATATAAAATATTTTATTATGAGAATATGTAATTGAAAAAGAATTTGAAAAAACGGTTATGTTATATGTACATAATGATTTACATATACATCATATGGTAAAATATGACTGGGTTAGAATTCTTCAACTAAAAAAATAAAAATTTCATCTCTCTTTTTGACATCTTCCATATGTAAATCATCATGTATAAGTAGTATAATTCTTGAGAAAAACAGAGTTTTGAAATAGAATAATTCTACTTGTACATAAGGACTTACTAATAAATGATGTGTCAAAGAGAGAATAAAGAAGTTTTTTTTTTTTTTTTTTAAAAAAATTTCGATTCAATCATATCTCGCCATATTATATTTAGAATAAAAATCTAACTTAAAAAGTTAGGGATATATGTACAATAATGAGCAAAGATTGAGGATGTAGCAATATGAACCTTGTATTGCATTTTCCCCCAAAACCACGACCTTCCATATTTACCCCGAAACCAAAATTTGAACGAAAAACATTTGTCCTCAAGAATTTGCTCCAAGAATTCACCATTGGTATTGAAACTCCGCTATCACACTCTCATGTCATCCACGCTGAGGTTTCCCCTACCCTCTTCTATTATCAATTATGCCCCTCCTTCACACCTGGTATAACTCTTCCGCTGCTTTAATTTTCTTCTGTAATTTGGAAAATGTGATTGATTAGATACTTGAATTAAAACTATAAATAAATATAATTTGCTTTTTTTTTTTCGTTGGTGAAAGGCAAGCCCTCGATTTTGCAGAATTCTGAATGTGCAATTCTTTGCGAAAAGACACCTGCTTCGGTTATGCACTGTTAGTACCAACAATAGCGTGAGTTTTTCTTTTCTTTTTTGTTAATTGGATTTGAACTTGTCTGAATATTTTTGTGTTGATGGGTTTACTTTATATTATTTTGAAATGCCAATAATTAAATCTTGTAGATGAAAATTGAAATGAACATTTACATTGCCTTGTAAAATGTTGTGTAACTGCAATGATGCATTCGAAATTGTGGATATTTTATTTAAGAAACATAGGCGGTCAATTTTCCAGTGTTTTTCCTTTTTCACTGATCAGTAATTATATGGAGTCTCCATTGCCATTTAAATCTTGAAATGTCTATAATGGTTTGTTTGATGTTATTTTGCTGAAGAAGTTCACATGGTTCTTAACATTTCTCCTATAAGATAGAAAATATTTCAAATATCCATTTATGAAACAATTTGAAATATAAATGAAACCAAACCGAAAAGTATTCCATTAGATTTTTAGGGCTTGAATGGAAAACCATTGCAAGAATTTGCCTTTAGCAATAATGAATTCTGAGATGTTTTACCATGGCATAAGAAGAATGTTATCGACACGGAAAATATATTGCGTGATATTTAGAAACACGTTATTTAGAAACACGTTATTTTGATGTCTATATATTGGTTCTTGAATCTTTATATACTTCAGATTTATAGCACTCTTATCTGTCTGCAGAGCCCAACTTCATTGTTCTACTAAATCTTCTCAAATCTCCTGTAATATATTTTTTCTAGACACATCATCTGCAATGAGCTCATCGCTGGGGAAGTTCTTTTTCCTGGTTTTGCATTTTTTCCAATTGGTGGCACCAGACCCAAATATTTCCTTAAATTGTGCTTATTAATATACATAGACCAATTTAGGTACATTTGTAAATCAACGATCTCACCCCCACCCCAGCCCTGTGCACATTCTCTGGCGTCCAACTTCTGGTGTTGAAGAAAGACACCCAACAAATACTCCTTTTGGTTTACAAGATTCTTGCTGTTACCCTCCATGTTTGAGGGTACTTTTCATGGTATTTGATCCATTGGAATTGTATGATAATAACGAAGCATGATACATGTAATCAGCACAACATGCGATCTAGAGGGATAGAATTAAATTAATGAACTGAGGTTTACTTTACAAACTTTGTTCAGAGTCATATTTATATTAAACCACAGTTGAATTCTATGTTTTTGGACATGTTAATACCCCATCACATTAGAGGATAGTGGTGTTTAGGGGTCCTTAAATGATACTTCTTGTATTATTGGGGGATTTCTAGGCATAAATGTATTATAATACATCTATTGGTTCATGGGCAGGTCCATGAATCAACAGATGAAGATAATAGCTCCGTGGAGAAGTCAGGTATTCATTTATATATTATTATGGGAAAAAAAATTGAGTTGTGCTTATCGTGTATATTTTCTTAATGAATAAACTAAGTGACAGTTCCTGAAAATTGTCAAATTTATTTCTTAGGTTCTATGGGGAAGGATGAAAGTCAACAAGCACTCTCACCTAATGAGTACTTACTACCCGCCTTGCAAAGTTTTCTATCAGTAGTGAAGACCAATTATTAATTAATAGGGTGTTAGTTATTGTCTTGTTGGTGAGTCTAAATGATTTCTTTCTTATCCATCTTTCCAATTGGGGATTGTGTTTGTCTTACGGCTCTCTCTTAGCAAACTTTAACGCACCTTTCATTCTTCTCATTTAAGAAATTGTTTTTGGGCCAAGCTCTTCTCTGACTGCATGGAGATAATGCGTGTATTTTACACTTCATCAAGTGAATATCTTCATTCTTTCTCCCATATTTATATCCTAAACATTAACCGAAGGAGGTGATCTGGTATTTGTATAAATTATGTTTTTTGAATATCAAATTAATAGAGATTGGTATTTGTATAAATTTATGGGAAGGAAAGGACATCTATTCTTGATGATGTCATTTTATTTTTATTTGCTGGATTTTTCAGGATTATGGAGAGATTGAAGAGATATGGTATCTCGGGAATATTGTCTTACGGCCTGCTAAACACTTTTTACTATCTTACTACTTTCCTTGTGGTGTGGTGAGTGTTTGAGTGTTCATCCAAAACAATCAGAAAGCGGAAACACAGTTACTAACTTACTTGCATCTTGAAATGAGATTCTTAAAAGGATCATTATATCGACATTGTGATTTATAGGTTTTATGTCAGTCCGGCCCCTGCAAGGATGGGTTATTTAGCTGCCGTTGAAAGGTACAATTTTACTTTCAATTGTTTTCGAGGATTCAAGTAAAATGAAACCCTAATTTGCAGGTTTCTCAAAGTAATGGCCATGGTGTGGGCTGGGAGCCAAGTGACTAAGCTCGTTAGGGCTGGAGGGTAAGCTGCCTAATGACTTTTTTACATTCTTTATAGGGTTGATAGTTCAATTTATCTTGCTTATATCATCTCTTTGTCCCCACCCCCGCTCAATAATACATGTATAAATGAACGAACATGAAAGCATGCAAGTATTCAGGCAGTTTGGTTTCTGTAAGAGGATCGCTCTAGTGCATCCTTTAGGTTCCTTTAAGCTTTTCTAGTTCAAATATTTTCCTAAGTTCCACATGACAAAATTGTC